CTCTTCCACTCCCAGTCTTGCTGAGTCTTTCTCAGCCTCTTGAGCTCGAAATCGCTTTTCTCAGTCCTGCTCTATCCACCCCTTCCCCTATTTGAGCTTTCTCCCTCTTTTTTGCACATTCCGCCATCCAGTTTCCACGTCCCTTCTTTCCCTTGTCTTGCACTCCACTCAGTCTTTTTCTCATAAGCCCTCCCAACCCTTTTCCGCTTTCATTCCTTTTCCTTATGCATCTCTCCCTCCTTGGCTAACACTGGCCCAAGGAAGAGACCGAGAGCAGATTACGAAGGAAAAATTGTGTGCACGTGAGAACGTGGGGTCGGGACCAAGCTGAGGGAATTCAGCCTGCTGGCTCACCGCTTCCGCCGCCGCGGATTCCTAGGTCGGGGCGGAGACAGGACGCGAGCGCGCCGAAGACGCCGTGCCACCCGGCACGTCCTCGACAGTGACGGAAAGACATTACTCATGCGCCCAGCCGGCTTTCCGCCTAGCCGCCCGCTCGCCTTCCCTGGGGGCAGATGCTGAGGTGAGCAAGCAGAAGCCCCCACCCGATTGGCCAGAGAAAGTCGCAATTTCCAAGAATCCGAGGCATCTATCTCTACGAGATGCAAAAGGTCATACAAGGGTTTTGCCTCAAGGGCAGATGTTTTTGTTCTGGGCAACTAAGACTGAAATATCCCTTTTAGCACCACTCTGCGATGTCAGTCTGCACCCCCACTCCTACCCTGCCTGTTTAGCCGCAGATTTTGCCTTCTCTTCTCCCCTCTTTTCTTTCCCATGTACATTCCATATTTCACACTTCTGTATGGCCTCGGATCTTTACAAAATCTTCTCTCTCTTTATGCTCCGGCAGCACCCCGATTCTATTTTTTAAAGTCTTTTTATTTTTGTATAAAATATATACAATAAAATTCATACATTGTGTGGACAGGTCGATGACTTGACAGGTAGACATCCCGGTGCCACCACTGCATCTTCTCAGAAAGTTCTGTCGACACTCTGATTCTTGCTGATGTTACTGTCATTTTTCAATCACACTTTATAGTTTTAGTCTCTTTTTCATATTAGCAACTCTTTACTAAGTACGTTCTATGAAACAAATATTGATGTTAAAGAAACATAAGAAACGAGAGCCGCTCAGTTTAAAGAGAAGGAACATAAATGCGACTGGCTTTCTGCTCTCCCTCTGCTTACATATTTCTGATAATTCCACCTTTGTAGTCCCTCATACTACTTGGTCGGCTGACTAATTTTTCCTGAGAAAGACATGCTTTGTTTTGTTTTCCTCAAGGAGGCTGAGGGTGAATGGTAGACCCAGAATAGCCTCCATGGAGAAAGCTGGATAAGAAAGTAACTCAAACAGAGCCCAAGTTCCTGGAGGCCTGGGGAGGGGCATGTCCCAACCAGCATGTGAATGTGGCAGGCACTGTTTCAAAAAACAAACAGGTCAAAGTCTGAGAATGCAGCTGTAAAGGCTACTGAAAGGCTCCTTGGGCAGAGGGACAGGATGTTGAGCCTCTGGAAAAGACTCACAAGAAAAAAATGTCAGCATGGACCACTGCGTTTAATGACACACATTAAGAAAAGAGGGCACAATGCAATATATATATATGCCTTCTGCTAAATTGTACACCTGAAATTTACTGGATTTTGTTAACCAATGTCACCATAATAATAATAAAACAAAGATGGGAAAGAAGAAAATTTGAAGGTCCCCTCCCTTCGCCCAAAGGTATGTGTATGTTGGGGAGGGGTATGTGAAAAATTAATCTAAGAATGAGGACACGAAGATGAAAACTAAGAAAAAAAGGAAGAAAAAAGAGATTTGTTGCAATGTGCTGTAAACCTAGCCCTCTTCCTGAACCAGTGACACAGGGTTTCCATTTCCCCTGACAGTCACATGTTGCTCAAGTCTAGAAACCCAAATATCTATCTGACCGACTTTGAATGAGGGGATAACTTCTAGATCTGCATATCAGATGCTCAAATTACAAAATTGAGCCTCTTCAGTAGTACTGAAATTGAAACATTTCAAAAAAAAAATTTACTAGTGGTGTTAGAACTCAGGGTGAGTTCTTTCTTTCTTTTATTTATGTTTTTTTTTTTTTTTTACTAAAGTATAATATACATATAGTAAAGTATTTACATCTGTATCCACCTGTATAACCACTACCCAGATAAGATCTAGATTCTAGAACACTTCTAGCTCCCCAAGGTTTTCTTGTGCCTATTCCAGTCTCTAGTCTCTCTCTCCAGAGGTAACCGCTATACTGACTTCTATCACCATTAATTAATTTTATTGTTCTTATCGATATATAAATGGAATCACACAGTATGTACTCTTACATGCTAGGATTTTTTTTTTTTCCACTCAACAGAGTGTCTATGAGTATTATGTCATATATATCAGTAGTTCATTCCTTGTTATTGCTGAATAGTACTCATCTATGGATGTGCCAAATTTTATCCATTGTTTTGTTGATGCACACATTATTGTTTCTGGTTTTGAGTTATTATAAACATTCTTGTCATTCACAATATGTATGAATTCTTTTCTCAGGTATATATAGTTGGGAATGAGATTGCTAGGTTGTTATTTTTTGGCAATATATAATAAATTCTAAAGAAAAACAAGTGTCTTTGTCTTAATACGTGTATGGTATTTTTAAAAAGCTTTTATATACATTGTTTCAATTAATCTTCAAACATTTTTATAAAGTAAATAGAATACTATCTCCATTTTACAGATATAGAAATTAAAAGAGCATTTAAATGCCCAATTTAAAGCCATAATAATAATCTGTGAATTAGGGCTAGAAATCACAATTTCTGATTTCTAGTCGAGTTCATTTTTCCTTTTGTATTCCTCGTAATTCACTGGCCCCATGAGAATAGAGTTGTCACTCTAATATCTGGTTTGCCTTGGACTGTCCCAGTTTTAGCACTGAAAGGCCCTGGGCAAACTGGAATGATTGTTTACTCTACAGAACAAAGAAAGGAGACAAGTGGATATTGGGGCTTGCAAATGGCTAGAGAAAAACAAAGCCGGCTTGATTTAGCTCATTCATGCTCTTCCATTTCCAAAGAAAAAGATATTTTAAATCAAATAACAATGGACCATCCACATATTTGTGTACTGTGTATGTTAACTATATTCCTTGACTTTGGAAATCCTCTAGGCTAGTGCTACGCGAACTGTGTGGTTCATGAACCAGCAGCATCAGCATCTCCAGGGAGCCTGCTAGAGATGCAAATTCCCTTTTTGTCCAACATTTTGGAAGGCAGGGGTAGCAGCTGCTCTCCAAACTTCTCTGTGTCGCCCAAGGACGACAAGAAGAAAGATGAGGGGAAGTTGGCCAAGAAATACAAAGACCCAGTTATGAAATCTTGGCATTAGACCTAAAAAATAGTGGTCCAAAGGCAAAGTTTGAGACAAGCTCAATAATCTTTGACAAAGTAACATACAACGAACTCTGTAAGGAAGTTACTAGCTTTGAGTTTATAGCTCCAGCTATTGTCTCTGAGAGACTGAGGATTCCCAGTTCCCTGGCCAGGGCAGTCTTTCAGGAGCTTATTAAACTGGTTTCAAAGTACAGAACTCAAGTAATTTATGTTAGAAACACCAAGGGTGCAAATTTATACTGCCCCTACTCCCCATTCCTGCAACCCTAGACTAACAGAATCAGAACCTTTAAGGGAGGAGCTTAGGAATTTGTTTAAAAAGCTCTCCAGGTTGGGGTCAAGGGATGCAGTGGAAAAGGGAGCTAAAGTTTTAGAAGCTCTGATCTTTAAAGTA